TTGCACGTGTTTTATCTGGGTGTTGCATGTACACTTATGTTGCAAGTGTTTCATCCAGATGTTGCATATGTTTTCGCACATATGTTGCAAGTGTTTTATCTAGATGTTGCATATGTTTTGCAATGACTACACACGTGTTTCCCTTATTTTTTAGACTAATGTTGCAAGTGTTTCAATTGTTTCGGACGTATGTTGCAAATGTTTTCTCTAAATATTAAAAAGTAGATTTGGTGTTGCACATATTGCAGTGAACCCCATCTACAGCAGCTGCTGGGCCCGCCTGCATGCGTGTAGGTGTGGAGGGGGCGTGAGCGGTAGGCGCGAGAAATCGTGCGGGCACAGATCGAGATGGAAGCGAGCGTGGGACACGGAGCGGCGCGGCGTGGGACCCCACGTGAAGCAGGCGTGCGGCGTGGGCTTCCGGACGCTAGCCCCCATCCTGACGCCCGGACGCTAGCCTTTTCTCTTTTTTTAGCAACACCCTCAAATTTTTTGCTAGCCAGTGGTCAGGCTTGTATAAAAAAAGCCCCAAAAAATAAAAATAGTGATCAGTTGCCTAATAACCATAACCTGAAGGCCTGGCCCAATATCTAGCGATCCGTTACACACGCATGGGAATCCAACGGAGCGGGATATTTAACTTTTTACCATTATAACGGATGTCACCTCTTCAGATAGCACTCTTAAAATTGCTCCTACATATTTACTATCGAGAGAGAGCATTTGATACATTCTTGCCATTTTCACTGACGTGGCACGCCAACTCGACCTGACAGCATAGACCTGCCACGGAAAATGACATTTTTGCCCCTCATCTATTTCTTCTATCTCTATCCCTTCCTCGCTCGACCTCCGGCCATGGCCGACGATGGGGTCCATGGTGGCGGCTGACAGGACATAGGGGAAGTTGGGGGCAAGGTAGCCGGGGCCACGTCCTGTAGGTCCACGGCCGTGCCCGACGTCGGTGACGAACATGGCCGCAGCCCGCAGGGGAAGGCTCGGTCGCAGCGCCGAGGAATGGCGACCAAGCCGGTCACCGTCGGCGACCTCATCCACCGCGTCTCCTCCTCCTGCCTCCAAACGCGCCGCCTCGCAACTACACCTTCTGCGGCTCCGTCGACAATGACACAGGACGACGATGACGACAACCCTTTCACGACGCCTGTCTCAAAGAAGTGAGAAATGCGGCGGTCTCCGGCTCATTGTGGAGGCGAAGGAAATCGAGGAAGAGGAGGGAGGAGGAGGAGAAGCTCAAGATCCGGGAGGAGGGGAGCAGGAGAAGGAGAGGCTGGCCGCCAGCCGTAGCCAAGGCGGCGAGCGCGCCTGCGCGACGCTGGACACGCCTGATGGCGAAGGTGTTCAACGCCGTCTCGGGTGCGCCATGCCTACGCCCGCGCTCTAGGGCGCGACCGCCTGGGACCCCGACAAGATGCAGCGTCGCGGACACGGCCATCGTTGCCGCGAGCTCCGCCACCTCCTGCAGCGCCCCGCGACCGCTTCCGCCGCTCACGCCGCCGCTGGCCACATCCCGCGCCCAAACCCTTCGCGCCGCCTTCCACGAGGCCATGGCGCCATACGAGGTGGCGCTCGACAACCTCCAGCGCCAGCTCCAATCCAAGCAGGCCGAGGTGGACGGGCTCAAGGAGAAGCTCGCGGTGGCCACCAGCCGCCGTAACGGGCGCCACCACCACCACCCGCTCTCCAAGCAGAACAGCCCCGACGGTGGAGCTGTTCACCTCCTGTGCCGAGCAGGCCCGCGCGGCGACACGGACGTTCGTGGGGCACCTCACGCACCTTATGCGCGCCGCGGGGCTAGAGCTCACGGCGGCCACTCGATCGCTCACCAAGATCCCGGTGTCCTCCCCGCAGCTGGCCAAGCACGCACTGGAGGCGCACGTCATGCGCGCCCTCCTCGGCGGCTTCGAGCATGAGTCCTTCTACCTGGACGACTCCCTCTCGTCGCTGCTGGACCCCACCGCGTTCCGACGGGAGGTCGAGCGAGGAAGGGATAGAGATAGAAGAAATAGATGAGGGGTAAAAATATCATTTCCCGTGGCCGGTCTATGCTGTTAGATCGAGTTGGCGTGCCACGTCAGCGAAAATGACAAGAATGTATCAAATGTTCTCTCTCGATAGTAAATACATAGGAGCAATTTTAAAAGTGACATCTGAAGAGGTGACATTCATTATAATGATAAAAAGTTAATATCCCCAATGGAGTAGCCCAGTTGAGGGACGAGACACGACGTTCCTCGATTAGAAGCTGGGGTTGGGAGTCGATGGGGACAGGCTCATCCTCTTAGAGGAATATTCGTTTATCCAAAACTGTTCTAGCTCTAACTCCTTAGTTTGCCGTGTTCTTTAGCTCCAAGTTAACTCTTCTAAGAAAAACATTTGGTAAATAACTGGAACACGTCTGATAAGACGTCCCCAACCCGCAGCCAATGGGCCAGCCATGGCCCATGAGAGGGGCGCGCGCCTAGGAACGGCGGCGGCGCCTCTACGTCTTTCTTCCCCTGGAAGGAATTTGAAGGATAAAATAGAAATAGAAATAGAAAGTAAATTAGGAGATTAGAGTTTGGTTTGTTTAGGAAAGAGGAATCAAATCTATAAGGATATCTCCCGTAGTTGCTTGGAACACCAGTTCTATAGGGCCTATAAATATGGGACGATGTAATCAATCTAATCAAGGAAAGAATAGAGCTATTGCTCCTTCCTTTATTCCTCTCCCTCTCTCTCTCTCTCTCTCTCTGTTGCGCCGCCCCCCTCTTCCTTCCCTAAACCCTAGCCGCCACCACGCACCATAGCCGCCGCCACCCCTAGCCCAAGCAGCCCCAGCCTAGCGATGTGTCCATTCAAACAACAACAGAATGTGCCTTTCATAATTAAAACACATGTCCATTCAAACAAGACGAAAAAACTTACAAAAGTGCACAAGAAATATATGTCCATATATCATGTATCACTCTGAAGCCGCTTGTTCAAATCATCGGTACCATGATGATAATTCTTGCCAACCAAATATTACTATGAGCGGCCAACACATGAGGAACATTACCTTAGAGATACTAGATCTTAATAGTGGCAATATTCCTGGTCTAATACATAACACTAACAAAAGCACAGTAAAATTTTCATTTACTGAGGGAGAATGGAGGATTCCTATTGAAAGAATAACCACAATGACCGCAAGTGAGGTTTTAGCAGCAACTGGAGTAATCAAGATATATACAGCTATTGCAAAGGTTATGGCCAAGGACCCTACTGCATTCAGAGATAGCCATATGGATATATTGTAGTGCATGTAACGCATTGGCAACTCAACTGTAGGTGTTCCAGCAAACACAAGGCTTAGGACGGCTAACGACGAGCAGAAAAACGCTAGCGTGTTTGCCATCATAAATCCTTGAAATTGTTTTACTCGAGCTAGAGTTGGAGTTCCTCCATGAGTGTGGTCATCAGCTATGTACCACCCAGGTAACGCAAAAGTAGCACCAAATGCCATCGTTGTAATTAAGACAAAGCCAACGCTAAGAAATTGTGTTGAATTTGATACTATTGCAGACCCTTTTTCCCCATTCTCTGCATCAGATTGGGGACTATATTCTTGCATATTAGCATCCCGCCGAAAAACACCACGAGTAGCATTGGCAGCTATTAGTGTTTCCTGTATCAGAATTCGTGAGTTCTGCAGAGAGGAGATAGAAATATTAGTTTCCTTGAATTTTGGTCAAAAAAATATAAGAAACATGTGAGAAATTTTATTTTGGAATTGACTATATTACCAGGAGGCAGTACAGTCCTGTGGGAATAGTGTTAACAGCAAGTTCCAGTGGGGTTTGTTTATTGTTGTTTGGTAAATTCAAGTCCACCTGCTTGTTGGCAAATAGGCAAGCGAAAATCCACCAATCCCCAACCTCAACAGCTAGATGTAGAGCAGTGTTCCCTTCATTGTCTTGCTTGTTCAAAATCGTTGACAATGCCGGCGTTTGGCATGCATATGCAACTATACTGTATCTCTTCTTCTTGGCAGCAACATGAACAAATGTTCTTCCATCTGAGTCATGCAATCCTGCACAATCAGGGAACTTTGTGACCAAAACGATGACTGCTAGAAGTCTACCTGCCGAGGCTGCAATGTGTATAGGGAACGACCCTTTTCTGTCTGGTTGAAATGCTGAATATGCATCTGCTTCCAGTAATTGCCTGGTAAGTTCCAACGTTGGTTTTGTTATGTTCAAAAGGGTCGCAATAGCTTTTCCTTTTTTAACCGGCACAGCACAGAGGGGAAGCATTCCATGTGCCTCCCCTTCTAGTGACAAAGCAAAATGTAGCGGCATGTTTCCATGTTCATCCTGCTCTTTAGTGAGTTGCTTGTTCCATTCCAAAAGCAATTCTGTCATCTCTGAAAGGTAGTTCACCTAGCCCCATTAGTGTTATTTATAGTCCACAAAGAAAAGCTGTGAGATAAAGGATTCCTCTCCCCTGCATCTTGCGGGTAGGATGCATGTTCATATGGCTTACAGAACTCTATTTAATCTTTGTGTGTTTCAAGGGGCGCTCACCAATCAAAAACATGACCACAACATACTACAAAACCTTTAATCTTTTTTCAACTTTGTCATGCTGCATCTCAAATTTCTTATTATTTGGTTGAAACATGGACATGGAACTTTTTTGCGGATTAGCTTCATGATTTATATCAAATTTTTAGAGTATTGTTCAATTCACCGTTTAATTACTCCCTCAGTTCCAAATTGTAATAAGTCGTTTTCATTTTGCAATAAGTTAAACTTAATTAACTTTGACCAAATCTATAAAAAAATATATTAACATATATACAATAATAAAACAAATAGACTATCAAAATATATGACATGGTACATCTAATGGATCTCGTTTGATGTTATATATATTTGTGCATTTTTCTATAAGCTTGGTCAAGTCCAGAGAAGTTTGACCTTCCAACAAAACATACGAATTCAAATGGTAAGTGTGCTTTAGTTAAAATTTGTGTATGCACCTTTGCTTTGAAAGACCGCGGCATGCAAGGCATTTTGTCCAGCCGGTCCAGCGTAGGACAGCTGGTTGTCCCTCGCGTGCAAGTCCCGTACGATGGCGTACCGGCGTAGAGCGACGGCCAGGTACAGCGGCGAGACGCCGGCGTCCGGGACACGAGCCAGGCACGGGTCCGCCGTCATCAGCACGGCCACCGCCCGCATGTCGTCCCCGCGGACCGCCTCGTGCAGGGCCGTCTCCCCAACGCCGTTCTCCATCCTCAGGAGTGCCCTCCTCCTGTCTTCCCCGCCTTCCTCTTCTCCGGCCAAGCGGATAAGAAGAGCGAGCATGTCGACGTTGCCCGCCCTGACGGCAACGTGCAACGGCGTGCTCCTCCTCTTGTTGCGTGCCTCCAAGAGGTGCCTGGCCTTGCTGTAGATCACCATGGCGCTTCGCAGGTGCCTGTCGTCGTCTCCGGCGGCTGCTACCACATGGAGTGCGGAGTCCCCGTCTGAAGTGACGCCTTGGAGGAGAAGCGACGTCGTCGTCGTCGGCAATGGTGGGCTCATCATGTTGCTGCGATGGATATCGATCTCAACGAACACTGCTGCTTGAGATGCATCGGCGGCCAAGTTGCTAGGTCGACGGTGCTCGATTGGTACGGCTTGATGATCTTCCCCGTTGAGAAGGCTCGTCAGTTGCCCATGCCAGCCATGGCATGCCGCCATGAGAAGCTCAGGGTGCATGGGTGGTGTGGACTGTGGAGTGGCTCCATTGTTGTCCATGGCAAGCTGCAGTGTGCCGGATTGCGACATCACTTCACCTGCTGCAGCCTGTTTACATATCGGCCAGCGCCAGCGGGTTCCTCAAACTTCAAGTAAGGAACAGTATGCATGTATCATGTGCTGCTATGTGAAGAAAATTCACGAGGTTGCGTCGAACGAAAGCAATACCTTGTTTGCATCAGACAAGAAGCAACGAATGGCCGACAAACGCTTTATGTAAACAGAAAGGTGGATGCAAGAGCTGGGCCCTTCTCTTATCTCTTACTTTATGAAGGATATACATGTAAAGCCGATTAAGAGCTACTTCAGACAAGCTTCGGAACCCAGCTCGACAAACCAACAAACCATATACCCCTCTTACGGTGGTCCTCCCTCTATTTAAAAATTATAAATCATTCTAACTTTCTTAAAGAGTAAAAAACATCTCAATTTTAGAGAGAATTATAAAGGTTTATGGCATCAAATAGATATACTATAAAAATATAATTAATGAAGAATATAATAATACTTATTTAGTATCATAAATATTATTATTTTATTATATGAATTTGGTCAAACGCTTCTGACTCCCCAAGAAAGTTGTGACTTATAATTTGTGATGGAGGGAGTAGTATAATACTATAAGTTTATCAACGCATGGAATTCGCGCGGCGTAAGCGCTCCCACACCGTTTGGGTCACTGTTCACCTGTACTGTCCGTGTGGAATTCGTGCGTCCTGATTGTTCCGACTACTGTTCTGTCATTGTTCACAGACATTGTTCGCATGGACTTCGCGCGCCCTGACCGCTCCGATTAAATGCGCGTGGAATTCAAGCGTCCTGAGCATTTCCATTACTGTTCCTTCACTGTTCACAGCGATCGCTCCGATTACTCTCGTTGATAAACTTACTATACATGCAACAGTATTAATTAATTATTCTAATTCCACAAACGTAACAAGCATAAATTGATAAGGGTAAAATATTTCGTTCAAAAATTAAGGGAAAAGTACATTCTACAACCTTAAACTATGAACCCAGGCAAAGGATACTCTTGAAGTGTCAAAAGCATACACATTTGGTCTTCTCTTTCCTAAAAATTAAAAATCTGGTTTGATCTCTAAAAGTTCATAATAATTTATTTTAAATCAGAAAGATATAAAACTAGTGCTAATTTCTACTAAAAATATTATATATATGTTGGTGCTCTATTTATAGTTATTTGAGTCTTATTTGTTTTAAATAAATAATGAGCACGGCTACAAGCAACAAAGCAATAAGGGCAGAAATAAGCCAGTTTCAAATAACTATATATAGATCATAAGTAGGTTGTCTAGAAAAAATGGCACCAGTTTCATATTTTTTTCTAATTTAGAATAAATTAATTATGAGTTTTTAGATATCAAACAGTTTGTTTCAGTATTTTTTAGCAAATAGAAACCCACCTTTGAAACCAATCAGGGGACAAAATTTATTTGGTTTTGACAATTGGAGGGTGTCCGTTATTCAATTTTATAATTCAGGGTTAAAAATCAGACTGAAGTACAACTTGGAGGTTAACAATGTGTACTTCAATGGTAAAGTATCATTTGGAAAATTTGGATTCGTACACACAGCATATGAAATTTGTTCATCCTACTAGCAGCAAACGGATTTTGAAAAGTTTTGATCCTTCATCAAAACACATCCCCATATATCTACAATCTGCACATGTGCTCCAATTGCCACTACTACAAAACATACCATCCCTGCAGGCCATCATTGTCGAACAATTTAAAACTGACGGTGATAGGTGTATCACTGTCGTTCATTTAAAACCAACCAAAAGTGATAGATAATTATCACTACGGTTGGTAGTATGACCGACAGCGATAAATCGGCAGTGATAAACTTCCCCGACCCAAAAATAAAAAGCAATCTAGTTAAGTCAGACCTCAAGTCCAGTACTCAAACCATTTAAGTCTGGCACCCCTCAAATCCAAGCCCAGGTGGTGCTCTCTCTCTCTCTCTCTCTCTCTCTCTCTCCCCCCAGCAGCACTCTCTATCTCTCTCTCCCCTGGCGACCACCTGGCGGTACGGGGTGAGGCCCCCGACGGCGAGGTGCGAGGCCCTGCAGTGATGTGGATTTTTGATGTGTTTAATAGGGCAGTGAGTTGGATCTATGATGTGTTCTGTAGGTGATTGATGAATCGACCTACGATGTGTTGAATCTCCCCCTCCCTTCTGTATATAATGTGTTGAATCTTCCCCTCTCTCTATGATGTGGATGAATTGATATGTGATGTTGTTAGGTCAAGATGCCGACTAGAGGGGGTGAATAGTCATTTCTAAACTCAATCATGTCAGCTAACTAAAAACAACATTAGTACACAAATGATTTTTTGCAAACGCCTCACTTTTCTAGCAGAGGCGGTTCACTTAGGACGCTGTCTCTAACCTTGATGGGAGGCACGGTTGCTACATGATCGTCACTGGAAATCAATTCTCAAGGGCGGTTCCGTTAAGAAAACGGCCCCTAGAAACATGTCTATTTCTAGGGGCGGTTCCTTTAAGTGAACCACCCCTGAAAATATGATATTTGGGAAGGCTCGTCTTTACAGAACCGTCTCTAGAAGAGACAGATTATCAAAGACAGTTCTCTTAAGAGAACCGCGCCTCAAATCCAATAACAGGGGCGGTGCTCTTAGTCAACCGTCCCTAAAAATAACCCGCCTAAATATGCTTGTTCCTGCTCACGACAGTGCTCTTGAGCACCATTGTTGAGCTCACTTGGAGGTGAGAAAAAGCAAAAATAGAGGAGAGAGGTTTTGCCTTTTAATCCTTTTTAAGGAGTTGGGTTTGAGAGGTGAGTTTGTGCCATCGCTGACTCTTATGCATGATGTTTGATATTTTTTTATTTTTGCTAGCAATTTAGACTGATTTTTTGCATAACTTACTTGGCTCACATGAACTCTAGTTAATTTGTATATTTACTTTGTCTTTTTTTGTTCATAGCTTTTTATATCATTTTTAAGCTCTAGGTCTAGAATAATATAATATTTGTAAAAAAGATTAGACAATTCCTGCAATATTTATATGCGAATAATATCTTGATGCAAATATACCTTTTCTTTTCTAAGACCAAATATGGACAGCTCATGAGGGTACAAGAAACGAAGACATGCTTTGATTAAAGATCATGGAGAACAAAATTAAGCCTAATACAAAATTAAAGATCACGGACAGGTCATGGAGTACAAAATTAAGCCTAATACATTAAACTAGATACAAGCCCTTTGGGCTAAATCAAACAAAACACCAATAATCTAATAGTAGGAGCGAAGCTTGACAGTTCTTCAATCCACAGGCATCATTGAGAGTAGATCGCAAACCAACTACCATCACAACACCATTACAAGGCAAGTAATCTGCACACCACCAGATGTGTGTAGGCCATGGTTAGCACCAATGAGCTTTGGTGGAAAATAGAAAATAAAGGGATCTGGTGATCCTAAGGGTTTGGCTGTAGTTTGCATCCTTAGCACATGCGAAGTAGCATCAAAAGTAGTGTATAAATCTTCTCTAACCCAATCCACAATCTTCCTACATACAAGATGTGAATGGTTTTATTGAAGCCGCTAAAAGACATGCTTTGATTAAGTAGACAGAGGATATATATTGTCCCTGTTGTGACTGTCAGGACCGTATAGTATGCCGTGATCCAAATCTGATAAAATCACACTTAGTAAGAAGGGATTTCATGGAGAACTACACGATTTGGATCATCATGGTGAGAGACCTACTGTCGGTGTTTCGAGTTGCCATCGACTAGTAAATTTGTATTATTGGGCGTCTGGCCGGATAGTGTGCTAAGAGGACATGAGGTTTATACTGGTTCGAGCAGAATGTCCCTACGTCCAGTTCATCGCTGCTGCTCGTGTTGCTAGCAGTGAAAGTTCGTAGTAGGGGTTACAAATGGTCGAGAGAGGGACTGGTCCCAAGTCTCTGGCGGTGTGTTGTGATGGGTTCCGATCGGTTCGGATGTGCTCGGATTGAGAGTCTGAAGTGCGATGATTTGTTCGATGCCCTTAACGGGATACCCTGCTTTTCCTTTTATAGGCCAAGGGAAAGCAGGGGTTACAGCGGAGGGAAGAGAGGAGAATGGGAAGGAGAAGAAGTCCTCCAGGATCGCCAGGTCCTTTTTTCCATCACATGGGTCCCGCCGACCCTGTAGACGTCAACAGGGACAGCTCCACGTCGTGGCCCTATCTGTCATTGGCGCCATGTGCAGGCGTCGTCTCCTGGTCATGGCGCTCCACTCCGTCCAGGCGGACGTCATGGTGAACTAACACGTCTGTTAGTGTTCGTACGCAGGTTAGGCAGAACAGTACTGGTACGTCCGATGCTGTTCCTAATGTGAGTCCCAAGGCATGGCCCGTCATGGCCATGTGTCATATCAGGGCGTGCCAGTCACTTCCCTGGTGTCAGAGCTTTGACCCAGACCCACACGCATGGTCCTAGAGTGGTTGGCGGTAGTATGGGCCTCCGTTGGGCGAGGCGAAGCCCGCGGCCTCGGTGTCGGCTGAGGCGGAGCCAACCCTCAGGGGTCGGGCGAAGCAAAGCCAACCCTCAGGGGTCAGGCGAGGCGGAGCCAACCCTCGGGGGTCGAGCGAGGCAGAGCCAACCCTCATGGGTCGGACAAGGTGGAGCCCACGGTCTTGGTGTTGGTCGAGGAGAAGCCAACCCTCAGGGGTCAAACGACGCTGAGCCCGCGGCCTTGGTGTCGGCAAGGAGGAGCCAACCCTCAGGGGTTATATGGGGTTGATCACGTGGCCTCGGAGGTCGGACAAGGCAGAGCCCGTGGCCTCGGTGGTCGGACAAGGTGGAGCCACCCTTAGGGGTCGGATGAGGCGGAGCTTGCGTACCTAGGGGTCGGTAAGAGCTGTAGTCGTGCTCTTGACCGCTCGGATGGATCAACGTTGACGGTTATTAGCTCCTCCTCTTTGGGTACCCTAGTATTGGTCTCTGACAGTAGCCCCTGAGCCTACGGAGGAGTAAAATACTCCTTTGGA